CCCAACAACATAAAAGGTGACTATACACATGGTCCACACCAGGTAGAATACACAGAAATAAAATTGACCACATTTGTGGGAAGAGATGTTGGTATCGTTCAATATTATCAGCCAGAACAAGGCCAGGGGAATACTGAGGAACAGACCATCCACTGCTCATATGCAAGATCAGGCTGAAGCTGGAGACAATTAAAACAAGTGCACGAGAGCCAAAGTATGACCTTGATCATATTCTACCTGAATTTAGAGATCATCTAAAGAACAGATTTGATGCATTAGATTCTAAAAACTGAAGACCAGAAGAGTAGTGGGATGGCATCAAGGACATCATACAGGAAGAAAGCAAAAGGTCACTAAGTAGACAAGAAAGAAGGAAAAGACCAAAACAGATGTTAGAAAAGACTGTGAAACTTGCTCTCCAGTACTGAGATGCTAAAGCAAATGGAAGAAATGAAGAAGTACAAGAGCTGAACAGAAAATTTCAAAGGTCAGCTTGGGAAGACAAAAGTCAAGTATTATGAAATGTGCAAAGACCTGGAGATAGAAAACAAAAAGGGAAGAGCATGCTCAGTGTTTCTCAAGCTGAGGGAACTGAAGAAAAATATTCAAATCTCAACTTGAAATACTAAAGGGTTCTATGTGCAAACTTTTGAATGATGCTGAAAGCATCAAAAGAAGTTGGAAGAAATATACAGAGTCACTGTACCAAAAAGAAATAGTTGATGTTCAACTTTTTCAAGAGGTAGCATATGATCAAGAGCCAATGGTGCTAAAGAAAGAAGTCCAAGGTGCATTGAAGGCATTGCCAAAGATTAAGGCTCAGGGAATTGATGGAATACAAATTGAAGTCTTTCAACAAAGTGATGCGGCACTTGAGGCACTCACTCATTGATGCTAATAAATTTGAAAGACAGCTACCTGGTCACTGATCAGAAGAGATCCAACTTGTGCTCATTCCAAAGAGATGTGACCCAACAGAATGCAGAAACCATTGGACAGTATCACTAATATCACATTCAAGTAAAATTTTCCTAAATATTTCAAAAATAGCTATAACAGTACATTGGCAGGGAAATGCCAGAGGTGGATTTAGATGAGGACCTGGAATAGGGATATCATTGTTGACATCAGATGGATCTTGGCTAAAAACAGAGAACACTGAAAAGATGTTTAACTGTGTTTTATTGACTATGCAAAATTTTTCAACTGTGTGGATCATGTCAATCTATGTCTTTTATGACACTGAGAAGAATGAGTGTCCCAGAACACTTAATTCTGCTCATAGGAAGCCTGTACATAATCCTTAGAACCTAATATGATAAGACTTCATCTCTCATACTTTGGACATACTATCAGGATGGCTTAGTCCCTGGAGAAGGACATCATGCTTGGTAAAGTGGAGGGTCACTGAAAAGGAGGAAGACCCACATTTACATGGACTGGCACATGAGAAGCAGCATTGGGATCACACGAAGCAAGGACTGTGAGGATGGTGCAGGACTGGGCAGTGTTTCATTCTGTTATGCAATCAGAACCAACTTGATGGCACCTAACAACTCTATGTTCAAGAGCACATTTCAGAGCCCCTTCTGACATACATTGTCTTTTCCTTTTTTCTCGTCTTTATTGACTTTTTGTTTTCCATACATATGATTTTCTTGATGTCATCCCACAACTCCTCTGATCTTTAATCATGATTGTTCAATGAGTCAAATCTATTGTTGAGATTGTCTTTAAATCCAGGGGGGATATACTCAAGGTTGTTCTTTGGTATTTGTGTATTTGTTTTAATTTTCTTCAGCTTCAATCTGAATTTGCACATGAGCAGTTGATGATCTCTTCTGCAGTCGGCCCCTAGCCTTGTTCTGACTGATTCTACATCTATCGAGATTCTACATCTTCTCTTTCCACAGATATAGTCTATTGATTCTTACATATTCCTTCTGGCAAGATCTATGTGTACAGTCACCACTTTTGTTGTGGAAAAGAAGAAACTGATGATCTCCTTCAAAAAAATATTGCCCAGTGAAAACCTCATAAATATAGCAGAGCAGCGTCTGATATTATGCCAGATGATGAACCCCCGCTAGGTTGCAAGGCACTCATAATATGACTGGGGAAGAGCTGCCTCCTCAAAGCCTTTGGGGCCTTCATTTGCTGACGTGGCATGACTCAAAATGAGAAAAAAAACAGCTGCAAACATCTATTAATAATTGGAACATGAATCGTACCAAGTATGAATTTAGGAAAATTGAAAGTTGTCAAAATTAAAATGGAACACTTGACAATTGAGATTCTATGCATTAGTGAGCTCAAATGGACTGGTATTGATCATTTTGAATCAGACATTCATTTTGTCGACTATGCTAGGAATAACAAATTGTAGAATGGCATTGCATTCATTGTCAAATACAACATTTCAAGACTATCCTGAAGTACAATGTTGTCAGTGATAGGATAATATCCGTATGTCACAAGGAAGACCAGCTAATACTACTTTTATTCAAATTTACACACCAACCACTCAAGTCCAAGACAAGGAATTTGATGACTTTTACCAACCCCTACAGTCTCAAATTGATCAAACATGTAACCAAGATGCATTGATAATTATCAATGACTGAAATGTGAAAGTTGGACACAAAGAGATCAGCAGTTGTAAAATATGGCTTTGGTGATAGAAATTATGCTGGAGATCTCATGATAGAATTCTGTGAGGTCAATGATCAGTTCAAGTAATAATGGAATACATTTTTTTTTTTTTTAATTTTCACTCTATAGAAGAATAATGGAGACAGGGAGAGAGGCAACATACAGTTCTAAGACTGTTGTTGTTATGTGCCACTGAGTCACTTCTGACTCATAGTGACCCCGTATGGAGTTTCCAAGGAGCCGCCAAGGAGCTTGAATTGCCGACCTTGAGGTTCAAACCCACTTTGCAATCCAGTGAATTAACCCACAGCGCCATACCAGTAGAGGCAGAAATAGGCAAGGGATTCAGATAGCTTAGCCTCCAGCTGACATTCCTTGGGCCTTTGGGTGAGGGTCCGGGTGATATTATGAATGTATGGATAGAGGTAAAGAAAAGACCTCAGGAAATGGGTGATGGTAATTCTGATGCCTCTTTTCTGTAAAAGACTATCTCTGGAACCTCTGCTGTTTGGCAGAAGCTGTTACACAAGCTCACTTGTCCAAGAAGCTGTATGTGTCCTGTGCCAGCTGCCTGTAACACCAACCAGGCAAAACTCCTTGTAGGTATCTGGGCAGGTGGCTCCCAGTATAACAGAAGAAAGAGGTCACCTCTCACTGCCTATGTATCCTTGGCCAGATTTAGTTTCTGCATCCCTAAAACAAGCAATCTCTGTCTTGTTCACTTTCCAGTAGGAGTGAGGGAAATACTCGGAGCATGGGGAAAGTGCGGGGCATGAGATGCGCCTGTTTCTCAGCCTCACTCACCTCTTTGACCCTGTGCACCAGGGGCTGGAGCCAGTCCCTGTTCACTTCACAGTGGCTGTCAAGGAAAGTAAGAGTGCTACCGTGGGCAACACTGGCACCCCGAATCCGGGACCGGACCAGACCTGTAATCAGGGACAAATGTTAAGTGAGTGTCATTTTCTCCAGTAAGACCATGAAAGAGCCAACATTCCTCCACACACCCAACACAAATATACCACACACACACACCACCAATCCCCTTCCCTAACACACATATACACCTATCCCCTCCTTCAAAAACATACACGCCTCCAAACATACACACTACCACCAATCCCCTCCCCTCCCCAGATACATACACCCAAACCCACCTATCCACCAATCTCCTCTCAAAACACATACACTAAGGTCATGGGCCAGCAGCACAGACTCTCCCTACCTTGCCGCTCATTATTACGTAGACATTTAACCTTGGGCAGCTTGATCAGAAGTTTGCAGTCATCAGCTACAAAGACAAAGGTTATGTTGGGTGAGTGTCTGGGGATGCATTTGCATGATGTCACTTACACTACAGGTGAGCTTGAAGAGTAGGCAAAGCAGCCCTGTCCACTATCCTACCATTAACTGCAGTGTCCGTTCTAACTCAAGGATTCTGGGATTTGGGAGGGACTGTCTGAACATGGCTATTATACAAGGTGAACCATTCAGTGCAAAATGGTCTCAACTGGGCCTCTTTGGAGTGGGTCAGTCACACAGTGGCACCTACATACTTGCTTAAAACCATTCCCAGATCAGAAACTGTGGAGTGGTTACATAGCAATAGTAGTAGTTAGGTGCTATCGAGTCAGTACTGACTCATAGAGACCATATGCACAACAGAATGAAACACTGCCCTGTCCTAGGCCAGCCTCACAATCGTTGCTAGGCCTGAGCCCATCGCTGCCGCCACTGTGCCAATCCATCTCATTGGGGTTCTTCCTCTTTATCTTCGACCCTCCACTTAACCAAACATGATCTCCTTCTCCTATGACTGGTCCCTCCTGACAATATGTCCAAAGTATGAAAGATGAGTTTGGCCATCCTGGCTTCCAAGGAGCACTCTGGCTGTATTTCTTCTGACACAGATCTGTTTTTTTTTTTTTTTACAGCCCATGGTAGTTTTAATATTCTCCTCCAACACCATAACACAAATGGATCAATTCTTCTTATTCACTGTGCATCTTTCACATGCATATCATGTTATTGAAAATACCATGGCTTGGATCAGGCACACCTTAGTCCTCAAAGTGACATCTTTGTTCTTCATCACTTTAAAGAGGTCTTGTGAGCAAATATGCCTAATGCAATACTTGGTATGATTTCTTGACTACTGCTTCCATGAGTATTGATGGTTGATCCAACCAAAATTAAGTCTTTAACAACTTTCTCCATTCATATGGATGTTGTTTATTGGTCCAGTGGTGAGGAATTTTGTTTTCTTTACATTGAGATGGAATCCAAATCAAAGGGTGTAGTCTTTGATCTTCATCAGTAAGTATTTTAAGTCTCCTGTACTTTCAGCAAGCAAGGTTGTATTATCTGCATATTGCAGGTTGTTAATGAGTCTTCCTCCAATCCTAATGCCACATTTTTCTTCATATAATCCAGCTTCTTGGATTATTTACTCAGCATACAGTTTGCAAAAGTACTAAATGCACTTGTAGGTTAATTAACTGGGGTGTCCCATGAAAGCATGACCCTAACCCTCCAAACCAAGGAATCAAATCTCATGAAGTACCTGATTATGTACAAAGAGCCTCAGCAGCTACTTTCATTTTTTTGTGTCATCATAAATCTATCACAAAGCTTTTTCCAATTCAATGTTTTCAGATGTATAACAGTAATCACATTAATTGGCTCTACAACCCTACCCTCAATCAATATGATTTTTTCATTACTGTAAACAAAACTCAGTACTCCATAGGTGCTAACATTCCCTTTCGTATCTCCCTGTTGCCCCAATAACTACTAGTAAACCTTGGTTTCTAGATCATGTCATATATATGTATGTATATATATATATATATATATATATACACACACACAATTGAGTTCATTTGTCCTTTTGTAATAAACTTACTCCTACTGTGAATAGCACAGCAATTAACACTGGGGTACAAGTCAATGTGTTGACTCTTGGCTTTCACATCTTTTGGGTATGTACTCAGGAATGAAAGAGCTGGGTCATATGGAAGTTAGATTGTTCAGTTGTTTGATGACGTGCCACCCTGTTTTCCACAATGGCTGTACCATTTTATGTTTCCACTAACAAGACTAAAGGAACCCTGGTAGCGCAGTGTATTATGAGCTGAGCTGCTAACTGCAAGGTCAGCAGTTAAAATTTACCAGTTGCTTCTCAGGAGAAAAGATGAGATTTTCTGCTCCTATAAGATGTACAGCCTCAGAAAGCCTATACAGGGTCACTATGAGTTGGAACTGACTGGACGACACAGAATCACCACCAATAATAACAAGAGTAAGGGTTCTAATTTCCCCACATCCTTGCCAATATTTGTTATTTATTTCTTAAATCTTACCTATCCTGTTGTTGTTAAGTGTCCTGGTGTTAAGTGTTGTTGTTAGGAATCCTGGTGTGGTGGCTGTAGGATTAGGACTGGACCAAAAGATCAATTTGAACTGCAAGGTTGGTGGTTTGAACTCACTAGTTGCTCATTGTTGTTGAGTCCTTTTGTTGTTGTTAAGTGCCGGTCGAGTTGGTTCTAACTCATAGTGATCCTGTATAGGGTTTCCTAGGATCAGCTGGTGGGTTTGAATTGCTGACCTCGAGGTTCACAATCCTGTGCCTATCCTATAGCACCACACCAGTGGGAGTGAAATGTTACATCTCATTGTGATTTTGAGTTACATCTTTCTGATGGCAAATGATGTTGAACATCTTTTCAAGTGTTTGGTGGCTATTTAAATGTCCTCTTTGGAAAAATGTCTACTTAATTAAAATTCTTTGTTCATTTTATGATTGGGCTACTTGTCTTTTTGCTCCTAAGTTGTCAAAGTTTTATTTACTCACCTCTTTCTGTTATGCAGTGATTGGGATCAGACATTTGCACTTAAAGAGAATATTTGAGAGACTACTTACGGTCATTACTGAAGTCATCCACTAATATGATTTCCTGGATCAGATGCATAGGAGTGCGGTTTAATATGCTGTGAGATGAAAGAGGAAAACTCATGAAGACTTCTAGTGGTAAAATACATATCTTTATTCTGACTTTTAAATAGTGCCAACTGCATCTAAGAATGAAAACTCAGAGATATCAAAAGTCTAGTCCAGTCACATTGCTCATCTGCGAGGCACCAAAGGTGTAACTCAGGGTTCTCAACTGCCCATGTGCCTCCAAGAATTCACACAGGTACCCTCTGACATTAGCCTCTCCTTCCTGCCACCTGCTTTAAGCTTTGATTCTCAGACCTTACCCTTGCTGGCTATGTGGCTGTGTGCTGTGAAGCCAGTTCTAACTCATGGCAACCCTGAACAGGGTTTCTGAGGCTATAAATCTTTAGGGGAGCAGAAAGCCTCATCTTTCTCTCATGGGATGCCTGGTACACTTGAACTACTGGCCTTGTGGTTAGCAGTCCAATGCATAACCCATTATACCGCCAGGGCTCCTTAGACCCTTTCCCAGTCCTGATCAATTCTTTGTCGGCTGTGATTTGACCTTTTGTGGCTGTCCACATTCAGCTAGGAAGATAATGAATGACATCTGGGATGTGCTGGGTTGCTGGGTCTTTGGCAACAGGACATGGATGTAAAGGTGCCCCGTGGACACCAGGAAGTAGAACACAGCAGAGAGTGGGGCAGCTGGCATGACACTCCTCGAAGACCTTCTGGTCCAGGTGGTATTGAAACTACTTGGATTTAAGCTTCTTTTACAACAGTGTTGGAGTGCCTGGGTGGTGCAAACAGTGAATGTACTCAAGTTCTAACAGAAAGGTTGGAGGCTAAATTCCACCTAGAGTGGATCTCAGAAGAAAGGTGCTTCAGAAAAACCAACCACTGAAAACCCTATGGAGTTCTACTCTGACGCACCTGGGGTCACTGTGACTTGGAGCTGACTCCACAGCAACTGGTTTTGTTATATAACCCAGAATCAGGAGGACTGCTGCTTGCTGGGGTGCTCCACTAGTAATTGAAAGCTTTTCTCCCACTGCTGTCTCTGCTGGAAGTTCCCTTTCCCGCACCCCCACCCCCAACTCTACCCACAAGGTCCAGTTCAAGCATCTCTAAAAGCTTCCCAACCTACTTAGTGAGAATGAACTGCTTTCTCCTCTGGGCTCCCTCAGCATTTCCTACCTACAAGTCTTGTTTTATTGCATTTATCCTGGCCTGACTAAGAGGTTGACTTGGGACAGCACCCTTGGATGGCACTTACCCCCAGGGCAGTGCCTTTGTCAAGTCAATGCTAACAGAGCCCATAGCCACTCACTCTGGGAATGTTTAGTTCACACCTGTGTGATGCTGGAGGATAAGCATCAGATTGCCAATCACAAACTATGTGCTTCTTCTTGTTGCTGAGTGCCTTCGAGTCAGTTCTGACTCATAAAGACCCTGTATAGGGTTTCTAAGGTTTTTAAAATCTTTGCAGGAGTTGAACCGCAGACCTTGTGGTTTGCAGTCCAGTGCTCACCATATGGAGCCATAAAGCCCCCTAGTTTAACTACGTGCTGTTGTTGTTAGGTGTCATCGAGTTGTACCAACCCATAGTAACCCTATGCACAACAGAACGAAACAGTGCCTGGTCCTGAGCCAACCTCACAATCTTTGATATACCTGAGCCCACTGCAGCTTCTACTGTGCCAATCCATCTCATTGAGGGGGTGGGGGGTGGATCTTCCTCTTTCTCTCTGACCCTCCACTTTACCAAGCATGATTTCTTTCTAGGGACTGGTCCCTCCTGACAATATGCCCAAAGTATGAAAGACAAAGTCTGGCCATCCTGACTTCCAAGGAGTATTCTGGCTGTACTTCTTCCAACACAGATTTGCTTGTTCTTTTGGCAGACCATGGTACTTTTAATATTCTCCTCTTTAGGTACTGTGCTAGGCATTGGTATATAATGATAAACAAAGGAGTTGTTCAGAAAAGCTTGTGGTCTAGCAGCTACTTTCTATAAACTATTAGTCTTGGCAAGTCACTTTAATGTCCTTAGCAGTAAAATATCCCGATCTATAAAATGGGATCATAATAGTAATACCATCTTTGCAGGACAATTGAGAGAATAAAGGAAGAAAATGCATATAAAGCATTTAGCACAATGTCTAGCCTTTCAAAACAAAACAAAACAACACCAAAAACCAGTTGCCATGGAGTTGACCCCAACTTATGGCACCATGTGTGCTGCATAGGTTTTTCTATGGCTGTCTTTTAGAAAAGGATTGCCGGGCCTTCCTTCCAAGGCACCTCGGTAGATTCACACCATGAACTTTTTGGTTAGTAGCTGAGCTCTTAACTACTTGTTGTTGTTGTCAGGTGCCATCGAGTCGGAACCGACTCATAGCGACCCCATGCACAGCAGAACGAAACAATGCTCGATCCTGGGCCAACCTCACCACCGCTGCCACCCCCGAGTCCATCAATGATGCCACCTGGCAGATCCATCTCGTTGGAGGTCTTCCTCTTTTTCTCTGACCCTCCACCCTACCCAGCATGACATCCTTCTCCAACGACTGTTTCCTCCGGACTACATGTCCAAAGTAGGAGAGACGAAGCTTAGCCATCCTGGCCTCCAAGGAGCACTCTGGCTGCACTTCTTCCAAAACAGATCTATTGGTTCTTTTGGCAGTCCATGGCACCCTCAGTATTCTCCTCCAACACCACAACTCAAAGGCATCAATTCTTCTACGATCCTCCTTATTCACTGTCCAGCTTTCGCATCCATATGAGGCTATTGAAAACACAATGGCCTGGGTCAGGCGCACCCTAGTCCTCAAGCTGACATCTCTGCTCTTCAATACTTTAAAAAGTTCCTGTGCAGCAGATTTGCCCAGTGCAACACATCGTCTGATCTCTTGACTGCTACTTCCGCGAGTGTTGATAGTTGATCCAAGAAGAATGAAGTCCTTGACAACTTCAATCCTTTCTCCATTGATAAGAATGTTGTTTATTGGTCCAGTGGTGAGGATTTTTGTTTTCTTGACATTGAGATGCAATCCATATCGAAGGCTGTGCTCTTTAATCTTCATAATCTTCTTAACTACTTAGTGTTGATAAATGGTGGTGACTATTACTAGTTTGTACATTACTAATGAGTTTAAAATTGAGTTCACTATATATGTGTAATACAGGTTTCAGTTTTAACTCTGGGTCTCAGGCATGAGATCCCTCCTCTCCTAAACACCCAAAGTGCATGGTTTCTCGAACTGGGTCATCCCACCCATGGTAGAACAACCAGAGCCTCAAGTATGTGGGGAGGGAACTCAGAACGGATGCTGCGTGGGCCCCCTCCTCCCAGGATTCTCATTCTGGGCCCAGTTCTCAGAGGGTCTACCTTCTATGAAGGTTGTAGTGACCCTCCAGGGGTATTGTGCCTGGAGTGGTCTTACTTCTTAACCATGGCAACGAATGTACGGTGGGGAATGAAAGACCTGCTGCCGGGAACACAAGGCAGTGAAGGTGGCGGGAGGAAGGGGACCACTCACTACAGTTAGTTTGATCCATCCCAAAGAACACACATGCAAAACCAACAACCAGCTCTCTAATCATGGAGGGAGGGGGAGAGGGAGACAGAAAGAGAGGAAAAAACCTGCTTGAAGAATAACCTCTAATGAGGTTTGATTACCGCTGTAATGTCTGCATTCGATTTCCCCCCAATCCCTGCCGGCTCTTTGAAATTCAAGAGTTCTCCTATGTGAACATCAAAAGGTAAACCAAATGCCGGCTCTGTGCCGGTTGAACTGAGAGATGATTAGTGAATAAAAAATGTCCAAGGTTTAAAAAAGAAAAAAAAAAAGAACGAAATCGTCAGCAGTAAGTGCTAATTATACCATTTCCTGGTAACACCTGGCTTGTTTTTGCTTCTCTAATCAGAGCAATTGGAATGATGGCATGGCCTCGGTAAGGTGGCTCTGGGCTGAGAGGCCTCAGATGGGACTTGTGCTCCGAGCCCTGGGGAGGCCTGTGAGTACGGCCAACTCCAATCCACAGGACATGGCCCAACTCCCACTTGCTCCCATCTCTGCCTTTGCTCTCACAGGTTCTTCTGTTAGAACACCTTCACATCCCCTCAACAGCAGAGCTTTCCTCCCATTTCTGCCTAGCTTTTTCTTTTTCTTCTGGTTGCAGTGGAGTTAGTTGATTATGATTCACGGATTTTCGTGGTTGATTTTCCGGAAGTAGATTGGAGGGCCTTTCTTTCCAGGTGCCTGTAGGTGGACTTGAACCTCCAACCTTTCATTTAGCAGCCCACCGCACCACCTTGGGACTCCTCAGGCCTGGCTTAGGAAACGGATATGCTTTTTCTTTGCTCTGTCTCCATGCCACTTCTCTTAATGGCTTTAGCATGAGGGTTTGTGCTGGCATACACAGGTCACACTGACTGTAAGTTATTCTACAAGCAAGTCTCCTGTATGTGGCTTCCCTCTCCACCAGAGTAACTTCATAGGCAGTATAATGTCTTCTGCTTCCAGCCTGCTGCCCCCCAGCCATGAAGCATCTGGTGAGGCCACTCAGAGAGGTGGCATACAGTGTGACAGAGTGGGGGTGAGGACAGGCGGGCTCTACCACCTACTAGTTGTGCCCTCGTGAACAAGAAACCAGTCCTCTCCAAGCCTTACGTTTCTGCTGTAATTACCTTTTCCTTGTAAAAGCAGGTGATATTAATACTTGACCTACTTCACAGGCTTTTGTGCGTATGAAATGAGGAAATGCATTTGAAATTGCTTTGTGAACTCCACGGTGCTATACGCAGGTAGGTTTTTATCAAACGCTCCATAAGTACCAGTTGAATGAAGGGTGGAGGCAGGTTGGCGGTGGAGTGAGACTGACTCGGATTCAACTATTGAATCTGTATCCACCATTCAGTTGCTGGGAGAGCTTCAGTGAGTGTTGAACTTTCAGAACTACAGTCACCCCAGGTGTACAATGGAAATATTGCTGTCTACCTCACAGGGATGCTGCTGTGTGCCTGAAAGGGGCTTAGCATGGTGCCAGGTACACAGCAGTGACTCTGTGAATGTGGCTATTGACGAGAACTATGACACTGTAGCTAAGAATAGCAATATTCGTAATAATCACCATTCAATAGCAGTGGTTCTCCAAAGTGTGGTCCCCTAACCACAGCATCAGGATTATCTGGGGACTTGTTAGAAATGCAAGTTCTCAGGCCTCACCCTGGACCTACAGAGTTAGAATCTCAGGATGAGGCCTTCTGTGAAACTGCCCAGGTTCAAGGGCCACTGCATTAGAACACTGCTGTCACCCCAGGCTGAGGAGGCTCATGGTACCACCTGTTGTCACCTGTACCCGTTCAATAAGTGCCAGGCACTGTCTTAAGTTTTCTGCCTGCCTCAATGCATTCGATAGGCTCAACAATGAATGTGCTAATTATTCTTAGTAATCCCAGGTTGGTGGTTCAAGCTCACCAGCCACTCTTTGGAAACTATGCAGGGTCACTATGAGTCAGAACCGACTCCACGACACTTAACAACAACCCATATTGATGACAGCTGCGAACTGCATGTCCAGACAGGTCTAACCCTGTGCCAATAAGGTCACACTGAACAGCCATCCTAGTGCAGGCTTGGGCCTTCCCTTGGGGCAAAACCTACTGATGGATTTATCTCCTGGTATAGGACTGGTATAGCATAGTGGTTATGAATCGGGCTGCGAACCTCAGGGTCAGCAGTTCAAAACTACCAGCTGTTCCGTGGGTGAAAGATGAGGCTTCCTGCTCCCGTAAAGATTTACAACCTTGGAAACCCTGTACAGGGTTGCTATGAGTCAGAACCAACTCCACAGCACATAACAACAACAACATAGGACTGATGTGGTGCTGCAGATTAATGTGCTGGACTGTAAAATCACTTTGAACCATCAGGTTGGTAGTTCAAGCTCACCAAATGCTTCTCGGAAACCCTATACAGGGTCACTATGGGTCGGAACTGACTCAATGGCACTTAATAACAACAACAACATAGGACTTTCAGCACTTTTACCCTCTCCTTGGAATATCTTCCTGCCACAATCATAGCAGGTGTACAGAGGAAAGGAAATGGCACAAGTTTGCTGTACTTGGTGCATTCTCTGGGACCGGGACCAGGACCAGGACCAGGGGATGATCTGAGGAGCTGGCCAGCAGATCCGATACTGACTGCAGCATGCTGTGTTTTGGAGTGCACCTTACTATAGGGCCAGTCCACTCCTGAGCTGAGGAGGAGGCTGTGTGCACCCCTGGCCCCAACACCTCCCCCAGTCATGCTGAAAGGCCTTGGTTGTTTGGCCTGCTGAAAACAAGGACTTTGAAGTCAGAGTGCAAAACCTGGACTTATGCCTCACCATTCATAGCTGAGTGACATGAGGCCTTGCTGCAATATCTCTAAGGCTCAGTTTTCCCAGCTGCAAAATGGGCATAGCAATGGCATCTTGCCTGCACAAGATCATAACTTCAAGGCTGGGGCTGCTGCTCCAACCATCTACAATGGAAGTGCTGCCCAGGACTGAGCAAGGAAGTGGGGAATGGAGACATCATTGGGGGAGGGTGGGTCCAGGGAGGAGCACTGGATGAGGAACATGGGAAAGGGGAGCCTAAACAGCTAGGTTCTTTCCAGAACCTGGTGAGTCTTCTTGGTGCTGGCTCTGGATTCTGAGAGGAGTTCTGTGGGAGTTGGGTTGGTACATTTCAAATACCCATTCAGGCCACAGGCCATACTGGTAAGGTTCCACCTACTGTTGTTGTTAAGTGCCATCTAGTTGGTTCCATAGTGACCTGCATAAGAGTGGCTGGTGAGCTTGAACCACCAACCTTGTGGTATAAAACCGAGTTTGCAGTCCAGTGCATTAACCCACAGTGCCACACCAGGACTCCACCTCCTAGAGCCAGCTTATGTCCAGGTAAGATCTGAGCATAGGTGAAGAGGCCAGAGGAGACTCAGAACTGGAACAGACAGAAGACTGCATCGAGAACTGATGATAAGGATTACTCAAGGGCTGCTGTGATTTCAACCATCATCACAGGTGACTGTTGGGGGAGAGGCAGGGAAAGGTGATGGGAAGTAGACCAAGCTCTAATACCAGCCTCAAGCTACTTGTTATATAGCCTGGGGCATGCGGTGTGTTACTTAATCTTTCTAGGCCTCAGTTTTCTTATGACAATTAGAACTAATATTCTAGAGACAGTCTAACCTAGTGATTAAGTCAAAGGCTCTGGGACCCAGTTCCACTGCTTAACTAACTGCCTATGACTTTAGGCACATTATCCAACACCTAGACCCTTTGTCTCATCCTTATAAAATAAGATAAAAACCTCCCTCATCTCTGGTAGCGTAGTGGTTACGAATCGGGCTGCGAACCTTAAGGTCAGCGGTTCGAAACTACCAGTCACTCCGCGGGAGAAAGATGAGGCTTTCTACTCCCGTAAAGATTTACACCCTCGGAAACCCTGTACAGGGTCGCTATGGGTCAGAACCGACTCGACGGCACTTAACAACAACAACAACAACATAGGATGAGGGGACGAGTTGATACACAAGGAGGTTTAGAACTGTGCTTGGCATGTAGGTAGAAATGACGCATACCTGGTGAGGTGCTATGGGATAAAACAAAATCGCTGTGGACCACAAAGTCGGTTTGAGTCTGGTCAGTGGTTCAAACTCACTGTACACAGGGTCCCTATGAGTCAGAACTGATTCGACGGTACTTAACAACAACAATCATTACAGGGAAGTCCTGCTGTGACGCTGTAGGATAAGCACTGGACTGCTAACTACAGGGTCAGTGGTTCAAACTCACCAGCCACTCCTAGAAACCCTATACAGGGTTGCTATGAGTTGGAACTGACTCCAAGGCTCTAAGGACAGCAACATCATTATAAAACGGGGCACACAGAAAGCTGACACATCCTTGTAAGTGCTGGTAACAACACTGGATGATGGACAGACAAGAAAGTCTGCCTTACCTGCGAATGGTTCTGAGCAGGGTAGAGCGGGCCTCGTTATGGAAGGTGATGATGATGCTGGTGGGTGGGAGGTCCGTACAGTATACCAACAGGTTGCATCTGGAGAAGGAAAAGACAGCAGGGCATGTAAGGCCTCTGGGTACAAAGCAGAGCTCATGGACTGAAACCAAGAGCTACATGGTGGTCACCTATACCACAGACATACAGCACTGGATAAGAGCCCTGGCAGCTCTAAGAATGATGGGGGCTAAGTTTCCCCCTACCTATGACAAACATGGACTTGGAGTGAAATTACACTGATATACAGAAAACAAAGGAGTTCCAGGGTGTTGCAAATGGTTAAGAGCTCGGCTGCTAGCTCAAGAGTCAGTGGTTCTAATCCACCCAAAAGTGCCATGGCAGACAAGCCTGGAAAATCCTATGGAGCATATTTTTACTCTGCACACCGGGGTCTCCGTGAGTTGGAATCAACTCAACGGCAACTAACAAAGGGAAATAAAGGCGCTATCTCTCGCATGCCTGGGTTTGTGCAGTGGTTCTTGTTGTCTAGTGCCATCTACTTGACGCACAGCACCCCCTGCAGGCCACAGTAGTACTGCCTCACAAGGCGTCCAAGGCTAGCGTAGAAACGGACAGTGTTTTGTTCTATTGTGCATAGGGTCAGTATGAGTTGGAACTGACTGGAAGGTACCCAACAACTACAACCACAATCTTTACAGAAGCAGAATGCCATGCCTTCCTCCTTTGGAGTGGCTGGTGGGTTCAAATACCAACTGGAATTAGCAGCTGAGTGTTTAACCACCGCTCCACTGGGGCTCCTTCAATGGTTCCTAGTAGCCACAGAAATCCAATCTCAAGTTTTGGGCTCCCCATCTGTGTTATTTGGGTTCTTCCACAGGGCAAAGGGCAGATCCCAGCCGTCCTGTTCTAGGCCAGCAGTTCCAATCCATCACACCATGCTGGACCCTGTATCCCCTGCCCCCTCACATCTAAATCTGGCTTGTTGAAAGAGGCAGATCCCCAGACCCCAGCATAAGCCATAAAACTCTATCTTGATAAAGCATTCATTACCACGTGTCCCAGATTATTTTGTATAACAATTACATCTGGGGTAATTTCAATTTAATACCTCACTGCAAGTGAAAATTGTAGCCTACAGCCTGAAAATTACTATAATGATGAGAATAAACCGGCCAAGTGAGGCTGGTACCACCAGAGGCTATCATGGGTAAATGCTTCCTCTTGTTTCTTGCTATTTCAGGGATCGTCCAATTATGGGCAGGGGATATTAAAAGAGGAAATAAATAACAGACATTTGGGGAGTTAAGCATTTGCTCTCTTTCTTCCAAGGCTTGGGCTTTTAATGTGGGGTCCAGACACCCAAGGATGGATTTTCAGGGGATTATCAGCACCCTTAAGTTGTTTGCAAAGCTATGAGAGTAAATGTGTATTTTTAAAAAATAAATTAAGACGGTTCAAGTCTCCTGGTGTGGCACTGTAGGATCAGCACTGGATTGTGAACCAAAGGGACAGCAGTTCAAAACCACAACCACCAACTGCTGTTTGGAAACCCTACACAGGGTTGCTATGAGCCGGAACCTATTCGATGGCATTTAACAACAACAAAAACAAGATCGTTCATAGTTTTTAACAGATTCTCCAAGATAACTGTGGTCTAGAACCCTTAAGAGCCTCAGTCCTGTCTCCACTGCCTCTTTGCCACACTGATAATTGTAAGCAATTATTTTCTGCAAGAATAAACTTAGATGGGAGAGGGAAGGTTAGACACACAAATGTATATAGATACGTTGTTGTTGTTAAGTGCTGTTGAGTTGGTTCCAACCCATAGCAACCCTATATATGGTTTCCAAGGAGTGACTGGGTGAGCTTGAACCACCAACTTTGCAGTTCAAACGGCTTTGCAGTCTGGTGCATTAACCCACAGTGCCACACCAGGACTCGATATACTATGTAGCTATAGCTATATAAATAAGTATGAGAGGGCAAATAATTTTTTACATTAAAAAGAAAAAGAAACTGAGGAGACTTATGGTGCTGGCCCCGAGACCTTAAAGAAAAAGTTTCAGGAACTGGAGCTATGTTCTGGGCTTTTCTGATCAGCATCTGAGCACAAGATGAGCTTAGGGTCTCCATAGGAACCTAAGAGTTGGAGAAGCAAGACTCCAAAGGAAGAGGCAATGGAAAAGGTAAGTCATAATCATTAAGATCTTCCTGCCTTCCTGTTTTCTCCCCACATCTTGTCTGGTCTACCTTCTGAACCCACCCCTCTCCTCCTGTCCCTGTGGTCCTACATCACATATTCATTACTTCTCATGGGATCCCTGCAATAGCCTCTGTCTCTGCTCACCATGTAGTTCTCCACGGGCTGTCCCCCAGTGGCTTCTGATGTATCAAGTCCCTTCAAGACTTTCCTCACGTGCAGTCTCACCTGCTGGTACGACTTTCTACCACTGCTCATGATGCTCCTTCTGCATGGATCAATGACCTTCCTCCTTTCTTCATCTGGAGAACTCTTACTCATCTTTCAAGATCCAGAGCAAATGTCCCTTCTGCTGTGAACATGTCCTCTACTCCCTCACATATCATCAGCTGTCCTTTGTGATCTCATTATCCTGCATATATTCCAGCACATTTGATGATGAGACTGTCTGCCTCAGTTGACTATGAGTCTCCCTAGAGAAGAGACTCGTGGCCATCCCCATGGCTCTAGAATGAAATTTAGGTATACTAAATGCCCAGACATAGACGGATGAAAGTCAGGAAATACATTCTTAGGTCAAGTAAAGATGTAATATTTTATGGGTTTTAAATGTTTTAAGAGCCTCGTACTGTGGATATGTTATCAGAAGGGATCGGTCTCAGGAGAAAGATATCATGCTTTGTAAATCTGAGGATCAGTGAAAAAAAAAAAAGAAATCCCCTACGAGAGGGATTGACCCAGTGGCAGCAACAATGGCTCAAACGTAACAATTGTGAGAAGAAAGCAGGACTGGGCAGTGTTTGGTTCTATTACGCATAGGGTCACTATGAGTCATACGGATCAATGTGAACCAATAATAACAGAAGAGCCTTCTTCTGAGATGGCTTTGGTGGTTCCCACATACTGGTGGTCAGCATGTAGACCCCTCCCACACTGACTCAGAACTGCCTTATATGATGAATAGAATATGGTGGAAACCACAGTGTATGATTTCCAGAGCTAACTCATATAAGCCCTGCAGTCTCTGCCTTGGTCACTTGGAGGACAGTGAGACGCCATGCTGTGATGAAACTCAAGCAGCCTTGTGGAGAGATGCTTTGTGCAAAGGCACTAAGACCTCCTGCCCACAGCCAGCATCAGCTCGCAGCCCTGTGACTGAATCGCCTCAGAAGCAGCTTCCCCAGGTGTGTCCAGTGATCTAAGGTGAAAGATTATCACAGCATCCATAAAAAAAAGTCATAGGGTAAATTCTGACTCATGGCAAGCCTGTGGGTGCCAGAGTCAGACTGTTTGATGGAGTTTTCAATGACTGTAGTCTTTTGGAAATAGATCACCAGGTCTTTCTTCCTAGGTACCTTTTGGTTAGCAGGGGCTCTGCCATTCAGTGATGATGGTGGAATGTCACAAATACCATTTACAGTGGAAGCTTGCAAAAAATGGCACCTTTCATCTTTCCCTGGGCTTTCATGCCAGGTAGACCTGGGTTTGGATCCTGAATCTGCTTGGATCTACTCAGCTAGGTTCGATAATTCATTGTGATAGTCACAACTCACACACCATACTCACAGTTAGGAGTTTATTAGGGAAGTTAGCAGATTATAATACAGGGTTAAAAAAATGCTCAGGGCACAATTGTTCCAGTCAGCTGCTGACAAATCCCCACAGGACACACCACTCCACCATAAGCCTCAGCCTGAAGGCACACAAGTGAGCCTTCTGCCCCAAGTCACTCAACTTTACTGGCTCCGTATTGTGCTCTGGTTCTTGGTTCTGCTGCTGCTGCTCCTCTACAGACCCTATGGTGTCACACCTTTCTGTCCCTCCGTTCAAGGAGGTTCAGTGTGCGGGGATCATGGGATCCAAAGAACACACTCTATGCCTGGTTCTTTTTTGTTTTTTTAATGGTAGTGAGATCCTCTCCCTTCCTGCTTCTGAGATAGCTCATTTTAAACCCATGTTAGAGTTTCAAGTTTTCACTATTACAATGAACTATGTTAACATCCACAGTCACCCTATCAGTATCTTTCCTACCTACTTCTTACCCAGCCCTGTCAGGTAAAGAGTCGCTTGGTGGGCATTACAAAGATAAGGCTAAAAGGGACATACCAGATAACTGACTTTACAACAAGACTCAACTGTGACTGGGCATCTGGCTTTACTTTTCTAAACCTGTTTCCTCACCTGTGAAACAGACATAATCCTTAATTTGTAAATTTTTCTTCTAGATGATTACTAAATTAGGTAATAGTAGGCACTTGACAAACAGCAGCTATTACTATTTTTAATATCAAGTATAAATTTGCAGATGACGTCTCCCTTTGGGAAGAGTCAGATCTTGCGAGAACCCGAAAAGTATCTTTGGCATGTGGTTTATCCTGTCCAACCAGAGGGTGATGGGACATTCAGAGAGAGAGAGGAGAGATAAAAGAATGTATCATTAATGTTAGTGAAAAAGAACTTGGGCTTTGATGCTTGGCAGACCTGGGTTTGAAGGCTGGAACTGCCAGGAACTGGCTGTATGCCTTTGGACATGTTATTTACCCTTCCTGGGCCTCAATGTTGTCACCTGTAAAATGCAGGCCAATACCTTCCTTTCAGGCTTATTGTAAAGATTGGAGATAAAACAAATAATAGTGTTTAGTGGATGCAAAGTGATAACTAGAAGCTGTCCTTGGGTGGTACAAGTAGTTTGCAATTGACTGCTAAACTAAAGGTTGGTAATTCCAAAAACCCAGTGCAACCACAAAAGAAAGGTCTGTTGGTCTGCTTCCGTAAATATTATAGCCATGAAAACCCTATGGAGCAGTTCTCCTTTGTAACACCTGAGTGCCCCATGAGCTTGTCTCCTTGAGTCAGACAGGTGTGCTGTGGCTTAGTT